CTTCTGGCAGTTCTCTGCTGATGTGCTGTTCCAGTCGTTTTTGGATAATCTTTGGTAGAATCTTGCTTGCATATGCAATCAATGATATTGTTCCATAGTTTTCACACTCTGTTGGGTCACCCTTCTTTGGAATGGGAGCAAATATAACTCTCTTCCAGTTAGTTGGCCAAGTGTTTGTTCTCCAGATTTCTTGGCACAACTTGGTGAGCATGTCCAGGGCAGCATCTGTTAGGGGAAATACGTCAATTGGTATACCATCTTCTAAAAACCTCTTGGCACTAGCAGTCAGGAAATCAGAAGATGAATTGCATTAGGAAAATCTGCTGCCAGAGACCTCTCCAGAGTGCTACAGTGCAAGGATGTCAAACTAGAGACTAAGGTGCACTGGATCCAGGCCACGGTCTTCACAATCACTTGCTATGCATCAGAGAGTTGGACAATGACCAAGGATGGTAGAAGAATTGATGATGCTTTTGAGTTGTGGTCCTGGAGAAAAGCATTGAGCATACTATGGACCACTAAAAGAAAAACACGTGTCTGTCCTGTAGAGGGTGAAACCAGACTGCTTCTCGGAGGCAAAGATTTTGAGAATCCGTCTCACACAGTCTAGGCACATAGCCAGAAGGGACAAGTCCTTGGAGAAGGACATCATACTTAGGAGGGTAGAGGAACAGCACAGGAGAGGAAGACCCTGGATGAGATGGATTGACACAGTGACTGGGGTCATGAGGGCAGGTGTGTCAGAGCCACTGTGTATAGGGTTGCAAGGAGTAGACTGCACCTTACAACTACATGGTAGAGCTGGGAGATAGTCCCTGAGGCCGCCATGCATGCCCTTCGTGGTTCCAGGTGATGGGCTTTATGGCTTGACTGAAAGCTGCAGACACTGAACCCCAGACTCCAGGCACCCTTACTGAGCACTTACTGTGTGTTTCTGTTAGGTGCCATCGAGTCAACTAAAACTCATATCGACCCTATGAACAACAGGTGTGAACCTGGTCCCATCCCATGCCATTCTCACCATCACAGGCCCCTTGAGCTCATCGTTACAATCACTGTGTCAGCCCATCTCCTCTGCTGGCCCTGAGCCTTTCCAAGTCCTTCCCCAACGACTAGCCCCTCCTAACAGCAGACCCAAAGGACAAAAGATGGAGTTGTGTGCTGGGGTCCTGTTAAAGGGATCCGAGACACAGTTGGAACAAGACAGGCCAGTGCTCACCCTCACCCTACAGTGGACAGCCTGGGTGGCGAGGGAACCCCTTTACAAGGATCTGGTGGGAAAGCAGCTGTAGGGGACTTCTGGAGGGCTGAAATTTGTTGGGGGGGGTGGCTGTCCTGGAGAGATATAGGTCATCCCATCAAAGATTTGAGAGTTTCTCTGCACCCCGCCCCTAACAGGGCTGGAGAGGTTGAGGAGGGCAGGTGAGGCAGACACTGAGTGGCACCTGGGAGGGCACTTGTGGGCCTCACCCGTGGATGTGGTGCGCAGGCCACAGGAGCTGAAGTACTTCAGGACCCACAGTGACCCCTGGTGAACACTCTGGACCCAAGAAAAGGACTTCTGGCCTCCCAGGCCCTGCCCCCAGTTCCTCAAACACAGGCAGGGTCCTTCCCACAGCCAGGGGTCACAGGCCAACTCCTGGGGCTCCCCAGGGAGGAGCTGAGAACAGCTTGGCGGGGGTGGGGTGGAGGAGGTGTGGGGGGGGTGTCTCTGGCCCAGAGTACTTGGTGGGAAGGGGACCCTGCAGGGCAGGAAGTATCCACCTGGCGGGCACACCCATGCCCTTTCTCCAGGGGCAGCTGGAGACTCAGAGAAGGAAATAGGCCACTAATCCCAGGGCTGGCCCCAGCTTTCCAGTCCCCAACATACCATGTCCATCTTCTTGGCCAAGCATGCAGTGGTTGCCCATTGAGGGGAGTCCACTAAGGAGACCAGACATGGGGTTTTGGTTCTGCCAAGGCCTCTGACCCCTGAACTCCTCCTTGGGCGGGGCAGAAACTGGAATGCTCCCTTATGCCCCCACCCGTGTCGGGGGTCCTGTGGGGGGGTCCCTAGATCAGTTGCATAGGGATGGGTGGGTACTGGGATGTTGCATGCTCTGGGCTCCCTCTGGCTACAGGTGCTGGTGCAGGAGGTGGGTAGTTCCAGCCCTCAGCAGCTGGGGCGGGGAGGGGCCTAGAGGTGGGCAGGGGCTCTCCAGGTGCCATAAAGGACAGGGATTTTCACACCTACGTGTGGAAAGCCCAGCCCCCACCAGACCCTAACTGGGGGAGGGCAGTAAGTGGAGGAGGGAAGCCTGGGTCCTCACCGCGTTATCATAACCGACCGTAGGATATCCCTGCTGAGAAATCGAATCACCAGTGGTGAGAATGTCCCCACTTTTCGATGTCTTGTCATATACTGGAGGATCTTGAGCGCAAAGAGATCTGTGTCTGGTCACTCGGTGAAAAATGCACCTTCACTGCCTGGCCCCCTATTTCCAAGGATCCGTACTCGAAAGCGCAACCTCACTAATCACCGGGCCAGTGCGCCCTCGCCTTCGCACCGTCTGCGCCCGCGCCCCCAGCGGTTTGAGCTTTGATCCGCGGAGTCCTCTCCCGCCTTTTACTCTTCCGAGCCAGTGAAGGAGCTGCTCTCCGAGTTCTCGGACAGTGTAACGCGGTGGGCAGCGCCTCGGCGTCGCACGCGCTCGGAGGGAGCTGCGTAAGGGCGGTGCCCGGGCCGGGAGCGAGACAGGCAGCCGGAGGAGAGATGGGGAGGCGGGCGACGGGCGGAGACAAAGTGGAAAAGGCGCAGCTTGGCGCTTGGAGACGGGGGCAGAGTAGACGGACGGGGCGGGAAGTGCAGGCTCAGGTCTCCGAACAAACCCCAGAGGGGGCCGGGGTCCCTCCAGGTGGCACTCACCGCCCTCGTCCCTGTCCCTCCTTCCCCCGGCTGTGATTGGCAGGCGGCCTGCGACCAGCAGCGAGCGCTACAGCGCCTCGGGCTCCCAGCGTGCACACCCGGCCCCTCGCGGGCGCGGCCGGGTGGGAGGAGACCTTGGCCTTATATAGCGGCCCGACGCGTCCGGTCAACGCGCTGGAGGCGCTCACGGCCCACAGGTCTCTGCCGACCCAGTCCCTCTGGCTGCCTCCCGCCCTGCATGCAGCCCGAATAGCGTACGGCGTCGTGTTCGCCGCCCCTCCGAGCGCTCCTGTCAGGCTCGGCCGTGCGCCCCGGACCCGCCCCGTGCGCTCGCCTGCCCCGGGACACAGATGCTGAGGACGCACGGCCCGCGGGCCCCGATGGTGCTGCGGCCCGCGCTCCTGTTGGCCTTGCTGGCGGCCTGGACGGGCCGCGGGGTCACCGCACCCACCGAGCCTAACGACACGCTGGAGGCGGAGCTGGAGCGCCGCTGGGACAGCCTGGTGGCGCACTCGCTGGCGAGGTTGCCGGCGGCCGCGCGGCCCAAGGAGACGGCGGTGCAGAGCGGCGCGGGCGACTACCTGCTGGGCATCAAGCGGCTGCGGAGGCTGTACTGCAACGTGGGCATCGGCTTCCACCTCCAGGTGCTGCCCGACGGCCGCATCGGCGGAGTGCACGCCGACGCCGGAGACAGTGAGTGGGCCCGCCGGGCGGGTCGGGCTGGGCGCGGGTGCCCCTTCCAGCCGGGCCGGGCACCTGCTCACAGGCCAAGACCGGCGCGGGGACCGCAGGACGCAAAGCTTGCTCCGGGCGCTGCCGAGCCCCGCCTCCCCGCCTTCGGAAGCCGGACTCGGGGAGCTGAGCGAATTCCAGCGGCCTCTCCGTGGGCTCCGGCGTCCGCGGGGGCCCGGGACGCGCGCCCAGGCCGGGGCCGGGCTTGGAGGCCTCCCTGCATGTGGGACTCTGGGGCGTCCTGAGGTCGGCGGGCTCCAGGGGTCCTTTCCACCCTCACCTATCCCGGAAATGAGGGTCTGCGGGCGCGTACCAGAGAGGAGAGGATGGAAGGGGCGGTGTGGGCCGAGGGCCCCACTGCACGGCCGACAGTGACCCCCGCTCGCCTCGCAGGCCTGCTGGAGCTGTCGCCGGTGGAGAGGGGCGTGGTGAGCATTTTTGGCGTCTCCAGCCGCTTCTTCGTGGCCATGAACAGCAAGGGCAAGCTCTATGGGTCGGTGAGTATCCGGGGCGGCGGGAACGGGAGGGAGCCCTCTGGCCTGACCTGTGTCCTGCTGGTGGACCTGCAGTGAGGTCTCAGGATTACAGGGCGGGCTGTGTTCTTCCCTTATCCCAGAAACCTGCCTGCAGGGGTGCCGTATCAGGGGGCGCATCCCAATTCAGGGGGAGACACTGGGGCTCCTCGCAGGTCTGGGTGAGCTGTTCCTGTCCAGACAAACGGGGGTCCCAGCGGGCAACCCAGCATTTCTAAGATGGGGGTGGGGGTGCAGTGGAAATTCTCCAGGTACCAGGCAGGTGGCTGGAGCTGTGTCCACCTGTCGTGGGCTGGCCTGGAGACACCTTTTTGCACCCTGTGGGGCTCCTCACAGTCCGGCTCCCCAGGACCCTCAGAGCCCAGCCGGCTAGGACGCAGCCCCACCGCCAGGGCCCAGCCTGACCCTCCTCTTTTGCCTGCAGCTCTTCTTCACGGACGAGTGTAAATTCAAGGAGATCCTACTGCCCAACAACTACAATGCGTACGAGTCCTACAAGTTCCCGGGCTCCTACATCGCCCTGAGTAAGAACGGCAAGACCAAGAAGGGGAACCGCGTGTCCCCCACCATGAAGGTCACCCACTTCCTCCCCAGGCTGTGACCAGCTAGAGCCAACTGCAGCGTGGGGACCGCCCTCCGTGCGCTTTCTTCAGAGGGAGAGTTGAAATGCTACCATTGACAAAACCTATTTAATTATTTAAAGGTATATATCTATCTATCTCACCACCACATTCTTTATGGTTCCGTGGGATGTTTCATATGCTGGAAAAAAAGGAAAGAAAGAAGAAAATGGACACATTTTTAATCCGGCGCAGCGTTGCGCACCTTGCAGTGGACGCGCTCAGCCATCCAGGCGGGCTGCTCTCCGTGTCGTCAAAGCAGTAGTGATCTAGGATTCCTTATCAGCTCTGCTCTGCGCCAGGTGGGCCTTTGAACATGGAGACGAGCGTTCCCTGTAAGTGTCAACTCGCTTCTGGACTTGGGGAGCCTGCTAGGGCAGCTTGCCCACCCCCACAGTGTCTCCCAAGGCCTCGCTCCTTGGCCCTGTTGCTATTAATTGGGACATATCAGTTTACTTTGGGGACAGAGGGTGCACAGTCGAAGTCCCCGCTGCCACTCTGTTTTTAGACGCGCCTGGGCTAACCTTTGAACTCGCCTGTAGTCAATCTTGGTCCATCAGGCGGGAGAGCTTTCAGAACAGTCCTTTTCTGGGTCAGCCCCAGCCACAGCAGGGGCCATGCCAGTACAATGATGGTCCCCTTCCTCTGAAAGGATGACCCACTGACAGGCTGGCACGTGGACAGAGTGGGAGAGGCGGCCCCCACCAAAGGTGCAATCTCACTCATTTGCAAAATCAGTTCTGATTTTGTTTTTAAAAAAAAAGCGAAGAACTACATTCTGCGTGCTAAGGACACGCCAGAAGATGACGCTTTTCAGTGTGTAAAATGTCCCTGTCATGTAGAAAATGCCTAACTCAGTGTTTACGCAAAGGATGCTGGCCTCCCGGGCACCCTGCCCCCGCTGAGTGGCTTGACTACCTCACCAGCCGTGGCTCCCACTTGGTCCAGGCCTGGCCTGGCCCTCCCGAGTGGCCTTTTCGTCTCCCCCCCCCCTTTCCATATGTAGCCAAAAACGGTTGCAGATTGCTTCGGTGGATCTCATTTGAACCTTGTCACGTTTGAGCTATCTTTACCCACGATTTACTTTTAGTAAGGGTAATCATGGTGAAAATATTTACAGACAGCTGTTGGAGTGCACGGTATGGTCACCAAGTAACCGTATCGTTTTCTTTATATATTTTACAAATGTAACCCCTGTCGTGGAAGCAAAAGAAGGAAGAGGCAGGTCGGTGACATTTTAGAAAGTTCTGAAGGGATGGGGACAATTAATTTTAATGAATGGATGATGTTTTAAAAACTAGCGTTTCTACAAATGGCTACCAGAAAAAGGGCTTCTTCAAATGTTTTCCTGAAACTTCCCGTGTGCTCATGGGACATGTTTCTGTGCTGTCTCCCAAATTAACTTTATGGGGGGCTACAGACGGACTGGAAAATCAGATTGGCATTTTTGTCTTTCACATTCCTTTTCAAACTCTGGATTCGAATGCGAATCATCTGAAAATGCTATTCCTGACAGCGGAGGCCTGGGCCAGAGAAACCAGACAGGACCATGGACTCCTAGCAATGCTGTGTCTTAAACCACCAATGCTTGTGTGTCTTCAACCACTGGAGAGTGTGTGTGTGTGTGTGTGTGTGTGTGTGTGTGTGTATGCATGCACGTTGATGAGTGTGAAACCACAAAATCCAGGAGGATGGAAGGCTGTTGTTTGCCCACCTCCATGCTGTTGGCGGAGGAACTGATGGCCCCTCTAAGGTCCATGTTCACCTTGTCCCTGTGCTTGCGTTGAGCGCCTTGTCCCAGCACCCGAGCCAGGGGTCAGGAGCTGAGCTGTCTGGGGGACTCTGGCACCGCAGTCGCGTCTCTAAGTGTCACGGGCAGTGCCTCGGGACAACCTTGGACCTTACGGTGCTGGACAGTTTTTCTCTTGTTGCGCTGGAGACTGAGGTTTTCAGAATCTGTAGTTTTATACAGATGCCGATGGATACTGGGAAGTATGTGCCGTGCACATGTAAATACAGAGTAAATGTTCAAGTGATGTATTTTTTAAAAAAATCTCGAGTTGAATGTAAATGATGTAAATACTTGGGGAAGGTATTAAAGGATATTAAAGTGTCTTGTGGCTGTGTCCTCCTTCCCCCTCCCTCCTGGCAGTGGCCTTTCTATTTGAGGCCTTGAACCTCGCATTGCTGGGGGTGGGGTGGGGGGGGGCAGGGGAGATGGATTCTAGCCAGCTGTGTCCACACAAATGCAGCCTGGAAAACGGGAGCCTGGGGGTGTCAGTGTCGCCAGGTTTCTCAGTGACTGATTCTGACAGCTTGTTCCCTTTCCCGGATGGGCCTTGTTCATGCCCAGCTAAGGCTGAGCTGCCTGTGCCCTGGGCTTTGCCTGATAGCGGGGTGGTGGGCAGAGGAGCCCACACGAAGGGGCAGCTTCTCCGAAGGTGGCTCCATACTTTCCAGACTCTGAGCGGAGATCACCAGTGGGTCTGAAAATGAACACAGTGGCCCCCGGCTCTAGTGGGCTAGTGCCAAGGACCCACACTGCCATCCCAGGGACACATGGTTTGAATCCACCAACTGCTCCTGGGATGCACTTGCTGCCTCTGAGAACCCACTGGAGGGCCAGCTTTGAGCCAAACACCAGCATATCTCATAGCACAGTTCATCAGCCAGGATGTTAGTTCACCAAGTCTGGAGGTTCAAGACCCCTCAGATGTCCCTCGGAAAAGAGGCCTCAATATCCATCCAGGTCTAAGAAGCCAGCCGCTGATAACCCTGCGGGCACAGTTCTGCCAACTCACAGGTCACCAGGACCCAGAGGCCATGCTTAGCTTGGCCTCAGTCACAGCATCGATGCATAGTCTGCAAAACTTCCACAGTGAGGACACTGATCGTATACACACAGGATGCTCCTTCTGCGAGGAGCAACGGCAGATGCTCAGTTTCTAACGAAAAGGTTGGTGATTCATTGATTCCAACTCATAGCAACCCCCGCCAGCTTTCTAAGGCTGCTCCACGCTGCTGCTGGATTTGAACTCTGGAACCATGCAACCTTTGAGTTATAGGTGCCAATCCCTAGGAGCTCGCGCTTTCTCTCTGTCTGTCTCTGTGTCTCTCTCTCTATCTCTGTCTCTCTCTGTGTGTCTCTCTCTGTCTGCCTGTCTCTCTCTCTCTTTTTCTCTCTGTGTCTTTCTCTCTGTCTCTCTCTCTCTCTGTGTCTCTGTCTCTCTCTGTCTGCCTGTCTCTCTCTCTCTCTCTCTCTCTCTCTGAACTGTCCATATTTGAGGGACCTGAGAGCAGGAGCCGGACAATGACTAAAGCTGACAGGGAACTGATGCCTTCGTACGTTGCTGGAGAAGAGCACGGACTACCCAGCAGACGGCTAAGAGAACAGTTAAGTCCTGGAGAAGGAGCAGACAGCTTCTTGGAGGCGAATGCTGAAGTTTCGACTGACGTGCTTTGGATGTTGCTAGGAGAGGGTGTTCCTCGGAGAGGAACATTGTGCTTGGGAAGGCGGTGCGGCTGTGAAAGGGACCAAGCGCCTGAACCAGGCGGGTTGACACAGTGGCTGCAGCAGTGGGCTCAGGTGTGTCAGAGATGACAAGGACAGTGCGGGGCGGGCCAGGGTTCAGATGTTCTGTTCACAGGGTCGCCGTGGGTTCTACTCAACAGCACCTAAAACCGATAACAAAATGCCTGATGGGATCCTGCTGGTTTAATGGTGACAAGTGGCAACTGCCAACCCAAAGACGCAGAGTTCAAATCCAGCAGCTACTTAGAGAAAGATGGACAACTTCCTCCTGCGGGATTAAACGGCCTCTGAAGACCTGCTGGAGGGCGGGTTCCAGCTCGATGGTACATAATAATAACATGCATATATGTATATAAGTACAGGTATGTGTCTATTTAAGTACTTCGTGTTGTTGATTGCCTTCGAGTCGAGCATGCCTCATAGCTGCTCATAGCGACTCTATGAACGAAACTCCTGAAGCCCCTCTACATGTACAGACATTTATCAACGTTCTTAAGTACTGAGTAATGACTATTTTATAGGTAAATTTTTATTATGTATACTGATAGTTTTTATTGATAAGCACATTTCTGTGAATGGTGTTAATTAGGACTGGTCCCTCCTTGCAACATGTCCAAAGTATGTCAAATGAAGCATCCCTGCTGGACAAAGCATTTCCCCACAGGGTCCCCAAGGCTATAACCTTTACAGAAACAGACTTCTACCTGCCAGAGAGCCCCTGGTGGGTTTGAACCACTGACCTTTTAGTTAGCAGCTGAGGGCTTACTAACTGCGCCACCAGGATTTCTTCATGGATTGTTGTTGTTATGTGCCGTCGAGTCGTTTGCGACTCACAGCGACCCTACGTACAACAGCCCTAAACTCCGCTCTGTCCTGTGCCAACCGCACTGTCTCCCACACACCCATCCCAATTACCCCAGTCACTGAATCAATCCACCTCATCGAGGGTCTTACTCTCCCGTGCTGTCCCTCTAACCCACCCAAGCAAAATATCCCTCTCCAAGGTCTGGTCCCTCCTTGCAACATGTCCAAAGTATGTCAGACAAAATTTCAGAATCCTTGCCTCCAAGGAGCAACCTAGTTTAACCCTCTCCAGGATGAACCTGTTTGTTTTCTTAGCAGTCTGTGGTATATTCAATACTCTTCTCCAGCACCACAGCTCAAAGACATCAATTCTCCTTCTATCCTCCTTAGTCATTGTCCAACTCTCTGATGCATAACAAGTGATGGCAAAGACCATGGTATGCATCAGACACACCTTAGTCTCCAGAGTGACACCATTGCTCTTCAGTACATGAAACTATACTAAATGGCTTGACAGCCGGGGACCTCGGATCCTTCCCATGGACGGTGTGTGACCACCTCACACCCCCACTGCCGCAGCCAGGCTGCCTCTCGCCCACCCCTCTTCAGGTTTCCTGGGCTGTACGTCTTTATGAGAGGAGCTCA